GTAGTTTTTCAGGTTATGTCTTGGGATTTATTCTTTGTTATGTGTGTTATATTATATTGAGATACAAAAAGACGAAGAAAAAGGAAATAAATTCAAAGAAACGAGAAACTATTTCTGAACGATTATTGTTAAAAAAACAATGTAAATTACAAAGTTGGAATATTGTAGTTTTTCAGGTTATGTCTTTATTCTTTGTTATGTGTGTCATATTGTATCGAACACTTCAGTTTAACATATAGTAATAAATAGACTGCGGATCTTTATGCAAATTCATATTTTTATTCTCTAAAATTAATGAAATTGGAGTTTTGTAGAGGGTTAGTAGAGGTACCTTACTTTAAGTATTTCTTATATTCTTGCATATTAAGTAAATTCTGTAGTTTTTTGAAAATTAAAATTTCCCATAAATGCATAAACATCTTGCAGTCTAGTAATAAATTACAAATAAAATTAGTCAACGATTGTGTCACGTTGGGTGGACCAGCGTCCAATCACCGAGGTGAAGCTGCGTTCGCCGCGACCAAGTAAGATGGGTGACCGCCTTTTTAAAATAAAATTGAAATACAATAAAATAAATTAAATTAAATAAAAAACAAAACAAAAATACTTCGTAAATAGAGAAGTAACTGCAGTTGTATCGCCTTTTTAAAATAAAATTGAAATAAAATAAATTAAATTAAATAAAAAACAAAACAAAATAAAATACTTCGTAAATAGAGAAGTAACTGCAGTTGTATCGCCTTTTTAAAATAAAATTGAAATAAAATAAATTAAATAAAATAAAAAACAAAACAAAACAAAATACTTCGTAAATAGAGAAGTATAACTGCAGTTGTATCGCCTTTATAAAATAAAATTGAAATACAATAAAATAAATTAAATTAAATAAAAAACAAAACAAAAATACTTCGTAAATAGAGAAGTAACTGCAGTTGTATCGCCTTTATAAAATAAAATTGAAATACAATAAAATAAATTAAATTAAATAAAAAACAAAACAAAAATACTCCGTAAATAGAGAAGTAACTGCAGTTATGGTAAAACAACATTTGGTAAAAATAAATAGACAATGAATCACAATTATATTGTACGAATATGAGTAACTGGTATATTAAATGTTGTAAATGTTGGAATATATCGTCTGAACCCATTTTCCCCTAGCATTCGATTTTAAAGAACGAGGGTCTGACCTCTCCCTTCGACCCAAAATCGCTAGCCTCTCGAAGGGTGTCCCCCATCGAGCCCCATAAAAAACCGTCAAAGTATTTCATCGTTAGCTTTAACAGTATCGGAGAAGGCAGCTTGTTGTAGCGCTTTAGGTAGAAACGCCCTATATAAAACGCGAGAAACACGGTCGAATATAAAGCACTATAGTTCGGGGGTACACAAGAATACCCTACTTTCTGTCCGGGCAAAACAATCGAACAAAGCACGCGGCGGGGACGATTCCTCAAAGTCCGATCGAGAAGAATATTTTCTCGCCGTGGTTCCAAACTATATAGCCCTTGATGGACTTGAAAAAAAAAAAAAAGTGGCCACTTCCTCTGGGCGCACGTCAAAGCGAATTCGATGAAGCAGCATATCAAAGCTACGTCTGAAGAAAGTGCCCGCTTCGAGCACCTTTCCACTAAATCCGAAAGCACTTCGCGCGAAAGGCTTAAAGGCGGTATTTTAATTGGATTTGAAACTCGCAGACCGATGACAGAAGTTTCGAGAACCGCGGATACGGCATTTGGAAGACAAGTATCGATTCTAAACGCTTTGTGGAAAACCTTTCGTCAATGGAACGTTTAGACAATATTTACCGCATTTTCCTTGAACTTTAACTTCTTTTCACTTCGATGAAACTGAGTATCCCGAATCAGAATTCCAGTTTTTATTTTTTTTTGAATTGTGTTTCTCTAGCTACTGTTTTCGATAAATCAATCGTATCGAATATGAAGCTTGGAGAAAATTTTTATTGGAATTAGAGAATCAATGCACAAATATTCTATGTTTTATGCCTGCACAAAGCAAGATTCTAGATTCGTGTAAATGCAAAGACTGAAAAGAAAGAAACGATTTTAAATTTAAGACTAATCCCCGACATGTAAAACAACAATCTCATTTAAACACATAATAGAAGACTGTCCAGCCCACAATAGACTGATGAACAGATTAGAAATGAAAAGGTCACTACACCAATTACTAAACAATGATATAAACAACATAAGAAAAATACTGACATTTTGCAGAATAACGAATAAAGAAAAATAATACAAGGATTATATAATACATGTAAACAACAGCCAAAGACCATGCAGTCTGTTACAAAGTTACAAAAAAAGAAAAAGACTAATGGCGACAGAAATGTCAGTCGTTGTTTGTTTAAAACGAAGCACGTGGGAAATGAAAAGGTAACCGTAAGTGCTCGAATAAAACGTCATCGTGCACTAAACCGAAACGAAACTCGAGCGAGCCAACAATGATCGGCGTTTCGTATTCGTCGCTCATCGAAGGAGTAAATTGTATTCGATAAATTGAACAAACGACGCGGGGCTGGATCGACGAGGGTTCAAATTACCGGGCGTTTTATCAGGCACCCATTTCCATTCCGACGATTTCAAAGCGTCACCGATAAGTCGAATTATCCCGACGCTCGTGGCATTTTCGATTTCTCGATTTTGTAATACGAGCGCCATTCCGTTCCTACGAAATACGCGATATTTCAATATTATGTATTTGTGTACGAAAACCACCATTGTAATTGGTTAAAGATATATTATACGTTATCGTTCGAAGTTTAAAGCGAAATTTCTCGAAACCAAAAGTCCACTTTAACCCTTTGCACTCGGAATTATATTTCAATTTTGTTATTAGCAGCTCTCAACGCTTTTAAGTGTTTTATTTGAGGTTTATGTTAACTAAAAAATAGGACAATTTAAACAAATAGAGGAACAGGCAAATTCAATTAAATATCTGTTTCATTTACACTATTGTTGTATTTTCTAATTTTCAAGTGTATGATATCTCTTTGGTTTGGTCTTGAAAGAATGGGCATAGGAGTGCAAAGGGTTAACGAGTGTTAGCTATATGTATACTAAACCATAATTCCAAATTTTATCCTAAAATCGATTTGGATACTATTTGTAAGTTAAAACTGAAAGGAGATAGTCAAATTTATGAAGTAACAAGAATATGAACAGTGAAAATGTTGAAGAATTAAAGAAAATATTATTGGAAAGTGATACAACAATGTGAAAAATAACATAGAAATAAATATCTTATTCTAAATAGTATATCATCAGAATTCGTAAAATACTATGGAAACAAAAATGGTATACAAATTAAGATTTCATTATGTATCAAAGCAGACATAGCAATTCAGAAAATAATGCAAATGTAGACATAGAGAAAGAAGACATGTAATGGTAATTAAATAACACCAGATAGACAGTTAGATAAAGTTGAACCAGGACAAAACAATCAAGCATAATGAACAAAAATTTTGTGTTAATAATATAGATGAGTAGAGTGGACTACTTGTTGTCAGCAAATTGAAGAGGAAAGAAGAGTTTTAGATAGTTCTCACTGGTCACCATTGGCCCAAGAATGGTCAGTAGTGATCAGCTGTGGTCACCATTTGTCCACAAAGGTCAATATAGTGGCCAACAGTCCACGAATGGCTACAAGCTCTCGAAACTCGATCCCCCTGAAGGTTCCAAAAGTATTGAAGCATTTCTGCATTGGCAGTTCTACTTAGAATCCTTTGTGGGAAGACGTGAGTGTGGGAAGATACAAGTTGGTCAATCAAAGTTGGTCCTATTTCTTGGCCATTCCTGAACCTTCACGCTGACACCTTCCTGTAAATCTAATTATTGACCATTGATGTCCATAAGCTGACAACTTTTGACCATTCAATAATCAATGGCCAATTTATGCCATCACGAATTTAATGATAAAAGCTTCCTTTTTATAACATAAAAATCATCTGAAAGAGGAGTTAATCTTTGACTTTCTGATGGCTTTTATTGGTCACTGGTTATTCAATGGCCAACAATGATCATCAATGGTCAACAATGGCCAGCAATGGCCTGTAATGGTCAACGATAATGGGTAATGGTCAGTAATGATCAATCATAATTGACAATGCTCTGTAATGGTCAATCGTAATTGACAATGGTCTGTAATGGTCAATCATAATTGGCCATAGTCAGTAATGGTAAATCATAATTGACCATAGTCAGTATAATGGTCAGTCATAATTGACAATGGCCAGTAATGGTCAACGATAATGGATAATGGTTAGTAATGGTCAATCATAAATGACAATGGTCAGTAATGGCCAATCATAATTGACCATGGTCAGTATAATGGTCAGTCATAATTGACAATGGCCAGTAATGGTCAACAATGTTGAACAGTGATAACAGTGGTCATTAATGGTCAACATTCGTGTGGCCACTAAAGTGTCAGTTCTCCAGATCCAACTTGTTCAAGATCAAAGAATCACAAAGAATCAATTCTGAAATTTTTGAAAAATGATGTATCGCAGTTAACACCTAACTAATGGTCGTGAATTTAGAAATGTTGTCTAAGATATAAAAGAAAATTGTACTCTGTAAATTGTTGTAAATTTTAAGAATACATAGAACTCTTGTACTTATTACATTTAATTGTAAACTTCGATCGTAAAGATTCTAGAAAAGAAATGGTTTATTTTGATAGTGAGAGCTTCTTTACACAATTTTAATGCAATATAATTCACTGTAAATTTTTCTTCCAAACAATAAAATAATATCTGCTGTTTGGAAATGTGTTTTGCACAATTCCCTGAATGTGTCGCGATTTAAAAAAAGATTGGAGAGCTCTAACGGACTAATTGAAACGAAACTAGAGTTTTACGTCGCGTTGGTGAAACCAATTCGCAAATGCAGCGATGTTCAAGGAAAGGATCGCGATTCATAAAAGTAAGCCGAATTATCTCCTCGAGAGCAATTTTAATTTCTCGTTTTTCGCAGCTCGATGTTCCCGGTATCGGATGCGTCAAACTCGAGCGCGCCGATCTGGGCGAAAAGGACATCGAGACGATCGTCCACTGGCATAATTTCTATCGCAACACCATAGCAAACGGAGACGAGCATCGAGGAAAGCCTGGTCCACAACCACCTGCGAAATACATGATGGAAATGGTACCACCTTCCCAAAATCTCCCAGAATTCTGTTTTGTAATATCCACTTTACCTGTTTCTTTTTATCATTCTTTTCCCCCAAAGAATTATTGAATTTAATTTATTGAAAAGTGGTGACAGGTGTCTTGTACAGTGAATCTTTAAACTGTTGCAATAATTGGTAGCACGAATTAAAAATTCAACAGAAATCACTGTTGGAAAATACCAACTTTATTGAAAACATGCAAAAATTAAAATTTAAGTAGGTTCTATGTTATTAAGCGTGGTTATTTGTATGCACACTGTGAATTACAATATTTTTGCAGCTCGATGAACTTAAAATTGAAAATATGCAAGAAATAAAAATTGTACTAGGTCCTAGGTTATTTGGTATGGTTATTTGTTTATACAGAGTGCATTTCAACACTATTGGACCTCGCTGAGCATAAAATATAGATAATCTAAGTATGACTTAAGAGTTCTACCGAGTTTCACTGGATATTTCGTTCGTCCGCTTTGAAAAATGCAAATTAAAATAGACACAATTTTCTGAAGCGATTTTATTGATAATATACACTGAAATTTTCATCAATGAATGCTTCGTTTTCAAGAAAATTGAGAAAATTAATCACTATCAAGAACTTGGCGATCATGTCTGACCATTATTGGGTATTTCTACTTGAAATATTATTTTTTATTGATTTTCCCGTTTTATAGTTGACAATAAACTATATCGTAGCAACATTGGTGCTTACAAATACCAAAACAATTTTCTGAAGCCATCTTATCGAAAATATACACTGAAATTTTCATCATTGAATGCTTCGTTTTCAAGAAAATTGAGAAAATTGATCACTATCTAGGACTTCGGGACCATGCCTGCCTATTATTGGGTATTTCTACTTAAAATGTTATTTTTTATTGATTTTCTCGTTTTATAGTTGACAATAAACTATATCGTAGCAACATTGGTGCTTACAAATACCAAAACAATTTTCTGAAGCCATCTTATTGAAAATATACAGTGAAATTTTCATCATTGAATGCTTCGTTTTCAAGAAAATTGAGAAAATTGATCACTATCGAGGACTTCGGGACCATGTCTGACCATTATTGGGTATTTCTACTTGAAATATTGTTTTTTTATTGATTTTCTCGTTTTATAGTTGACAATAAACTATATCGTAGCAACATTGGTGCTTACAAATACCAAAACAATTTTCTGAAGCCATCTTATTGAAAATATACAGTGAAATTTTCATCATTGAATGCTTCTTTTTCAAGAAAATTGAGAAAATTGATGACTATTGAGGACTTCGGGACCATGTCTGACTATTATTGAGTATTTCTACTTAAAATATTATTTTTTATTGATTTTCCCGTTTTATAGTTGACAATAAACTATATCGTAGCAACATTGGTGCTTACAAATACCAAAACAATTTTCTGAAGCCATCTTATTGAAAATATACAGTGAAATTTACATCATTGAATGCTTCGTTTTCAAGAAAATTGAGAAAATTGATCACTACCTAGGACTTCGGGACCATTTCTGACTATTATTGGGTATTTCTACTTAAAATATTATTTTTTATTGATTTTCTCGTTTTATAGTTGATATAAACTATATCGTAGCAACATTGGTGCTTACAAATACCAAAACAATTTTCTGAAGCCATCTTATTGAAAATATACAGTGAAATTTTCATCATTGAATGCTTCCTTTTCAAGAAAATTGAGAAAATTGATCACTATCGAGGACTTCGGGACCATGCCTGCCTATTATTGGGTATTTCTACTTAAAATATTATTTTTTATTGATTTTCTCGTTTTATAGTTGACAATAAACTATATCGTAGCAACATTGGTGCTTACAAATACTAAAACAATTTTCTGAAGCCATCTTATCGAAAATATACACTGAAATTTTCATCATTGAATGCTTCGTTTTCAAGAAAATTGAGAAAATTGATTACTATCGAGGACTTCGGGACCATGCCCGACCATTATTGGGTATTTCTACTTAAAATATTATTTTTTATTGATTTTCTCGTTTTATAGTTGACTATAAACTATATCGTAGCAACATTGGTGCTTACAAATACCAAAACAATTTTCTGAAGCCATCTTATTGAAAATATACAGTGAAATTTTCATCATTGAATGCTTCCTTTTCAAAAAAATTTAGAAAATTCATCACTATCTAGGACTTCGGGACCATTTCTGACCAATATTGGGTATTTCTACTTGAAATATTGTTTTTTTATTGATTTTCTCGTTTTATAGTTGATATAAACTATATCGTAGCAACATTGGTGCTTACAAATTCCAAAACAATTTTCTGAAGCCATCTTATTGAAAATATACAGTGAAATTTTCATCATTGAATGCTTCGTTTTCAAGAAAATTGAGAAAATTGATCACTATCGAGGACTTCGGGACCATGCCTGCCTATTATTGGGTATTTCTACTTAAAATATTATTTTTTATTGATTTTCTCGTTTTATAGTTGATATAAACTATATCGTAGCAACATTGGTGCTTACAAATACCAAAACAATTTTCTGAAGCCATCTTATTGAAAATATACAGTGAAATTTTCATCATTGAATGCTTCCTTTTCAAGAAAATTGAGAAAATTGATCACTATCGAGGACTTCGGGACCATGCCTGCCTATTATTGGGTATTTCTACTTAAAATATTATTTTTTATTGATTTTCTCGTTTTATAGTTGACAATAAACTATATCGTAGCAACATTGGTGCTTACAAATACCAAAACAATTTTCTGAAGCCATCTTATTGAAAATATACAGTGAAATTTTCATCATTGAATGCTTTGTTTTCAAGAAAATTGAGAAAATTGATCACTATCGAGGACTTCGGGACCATTTCTGACCAATATTGGGTATTTCTACTTGAAATATTGTTTTTTTATTGATTTTCTCGTTTTATAGTTGAAATAAACTATATCGTAGCAACATTGGTGCTTACAAATACCAAAACAATTTTCTGAAGCCATCTTATTGAAAATATACAGTGAAATTTTCATCATTGAATGCTTCGTTTTCAAGAAAATTGAGAAAATTGATCACTATCGAGGACTTCGGAACCATGCCTGCCTATTATTGGGTATTTCTACTTAAAATATTATTTTTTATTGATTTTCTCGTTTTATAGTTGACAATAAACTATATCGTAGCAACATTGGTGCTTACAAATACCAAAACAATTTTCTGAAGCCATCTTATTGAAAATATACAGTGAAATTTTCATCATTGAATGCTTTGTTTTCAAGAAAATTGAGAAAATTGATCACTATCGAGGACTTCGGGACCATTTCTGACCAATATTGGGTATTTCTACTTGAAATATTGTTTTTTTATTGATTTTCTCGTTTTATAGTTGAAATAAACTATATCGTAGCAACATTGGTGCTTACAAATACCAAAACAATTTTCTGAAGCCATCTTATTGAAAATATACAGTGAAATTTACATCATTGAATGCTTCGTTTTCAAGAAAATTGAGAAAATTGATCACTATCTAGGACTTCGGGACCATGTCTGACCATTATTGGGTATTTCTACTTGAAATATTGTTTTTTTATTGATTTTCTCGTTTTATAGTTGATATAAACTATATCGTAGCAACATTGGTGCTTACAAATACCAAAACAATTTTCTGAAGCCATCTTATTGAAAATATACAGTGAAATTTTCATCATTGAATGCTTCGTTTTCAAGAAAATTGAGAAAATTGATCACTATCGAGGACTTCGGAACCATGCCTGCCTATTATTGGGTATTTCTACTTAAAATATTATTTTTTATTGATTTTCTCGTTTTATAGTCGACAATAAACTATATCGTAGCAACATTGGTGCTCACAAATACCAAAACAATAGTAAACAAGTGTAAAGAGATTGACATGAACTCCAAATACAAACTCCGCTTTGAAAAATGCAAATTTAAATAGACTCAATTTTCTGAAGCGATCTTATCGAAAATATACAGTGAAATTTTCATCATTGAATGCTTAGTTTTCAAGAAAATTGAGAAAATTGATCACTATCGAGGACTTCGGGACCATGTCTGACCAATATTGGGTATTTCTACTTGAAATATTGTTTTTTTATTGATTTTCTCGTTTCATAGTTGAAATAAACTATATCGTAGCAACATTGTTCCTCACAAACACCAAAACAATACCAAACAAGTGAATAAATTGCAATGAACCCCGAATGCAAGTAGAAATAACGAGTATTGGTTCGACGCGATCAATTTTCAACATCGCATAAAAAATTTTTTCAACTTTATTCTATATTTTCGATTTAATTTTCATTCTGAACGATCACATTCCTATTTTCACGTTCATTAAAAACTTTGTAAAAATTTATTTTCACGATATGTCAAAATTCTCACCCAAAGTTCATTCGTCTCCTCGATAAATCGTCGATGATATAAACAATCTACGAACAAGGAATAGAATACGAAGATTAACCCACTTTCGTTCGGATTTAAATTCTGCAAATATTTTTTAGAATAAAAACATATTCTTTCTCGACGGGTGAAGATTATATTGCAACTCTGTTTCCGGATTCGTGCCCGGGACAAGATACTCTACGAGCATCACACCCCGGTGGATATTGCGAAACAGACAAAAGCTTTTTATTTGTTGGACAGCGTATTTAATCATTCGTATCCGGGCCCGAATCTGACAGCGATATTTGTTTCGACAGATCTGGGATGACGAACTCGCTCACATCGCGGACCGATGGGCGTTGCAGTGCAACCTCTTCGAGAAAGATCAGTGCCGAGACGTTGGCAAGTAACTCCCCCGGATATATCCCATTTTTCACTACCCCTTACTCGTCCCTATCATTTTTCAATATCCACTATATACGTTCGAACGTGAGATTGTTCCACCCGGCAACGGTGCACGTCGGAACGGCCCATGTCTGCGCTCTTCTCTTTTTGTTTATCGTTCCGTTATCCTTTTCGGCCACCACGTCTCGTCTCGGTTTGCAATTGCAAACTCCGCGACATCCCCTCCTCTAATTCGCGTTAAATTTAATGCCTCGCGCGCTGCACATTTTCGATTTTCAATTACCGTTTGCACGAGGTGGCGATTCTTTTCGGTCGATGCACCAGTGGACAGTGAATTACTATGAAAGTGGCTTGGGGCCGCGAAACATAAAAATTGAGATTTTCGTTCAGTATTACGTCATTACGTATTAATTGCATTTCATTATTGTGAATTTTTAGGTCTCACGTGAGGGTTGAGATGCCTCGAAATGGGGAATACAGGGTGTTCTACAAGTAAAAATAAGACTAAAGTGATATATGACAAGACGTTCATAAATACTTTGTTAAGAAGTTGTAACAAACATATAAAATGTGATGTGTAGACTGCGGATCTGTATGCAAATTCACATTTTTATTAATAGAATTAATGAAACGGAAGCTTCGCAGAGGGCTGTCTCAACCCCTAAATATAATAATTCGTATCTTATATTTTTGCATATTAAATGCATTCTGTAGTTTTTTGTGGATTAAAATTTTCCATAAATGCATAAACATCCGCAGTCTAGTGATGTGTTTTTCATTATTAAACAAACAAATTTACTAAAATTTTGTTTAAAGAGGGCAACTGCTGATTGAGGCACGAAAAAATATTTTTAACGTAGAATAATGTGGATAACTGAAAGATTCCTTTATCAGAGTTTGTTTTTTCTATCATTTATCTTGGGTGCTGATGTATTCTTCGATGATAACTTTTTGTAGCCAAAATTTTGAACTATTGTACAAGTTTATGCTCAGTTTGCAACGAAACTGACGATATCTAATGCTTGCAAAAGATTGATTTCATTTTATTGTAAATATTTTTGTTATGGCTCCTTAACAAAGCAATTATGGATTTTTTGTTATACAGGGTGTTCGATCACCCCTGGGAAAAATTGTAATGGGAGATCCTAGAGGCCAAAATAGGACGAAAATCAAGAATATCAATTTGTTGACTGAGGCTTCGTTAAAAAGTTATTAACAATTAAATTCAAAAATTTCAAATCGTTCTGGAAAAATTATATTTAGTTACAGGGGTAAATTACAAGCATTTTTGGTGAATACACATATCCCTGAAATCCTATCCACTTTTGAGAAAAAAATTTGAGCAGGTACTGAAATATTTAGAGGAAATTAAAAAATTTCAAACCGTACTAAAAAAATTATATTTAGTTACAGGGGTAAATTACAAGCATTTTTGGTGAATAGACATAAATTTCAAAAGTTTTTCTTTCGCCGAAAAATAAAGCCACCTACCCCCTTGGTGATTTTTCTTAAAAATTCGTTCTTGATTTTTAGTAATTTTGTTTGACACCCTGTAGAAAAGTTGTCTAATACTTTTTTGTAGGTATCTATGAGCTTTACTTTAGAAAAAAGTTTCATCGAAATATATTCACTATTGTAGGAGGTATGACTGTTTGCAAATTGGACTATTGTTATGAGGTTTTTCTCATTTTGCAGGTTCAAGGATCAAGTTTTTGAATATTTTTGGAATTTCTACATATTCTTCATCAAAATACGCGTTGTTTGCATTTTGAAACATTAAAATCGTCCAATCCGTTCAGAAGTTATGACGTTCTAAACATACGCATGAAATTTCAGTGAAACGTGTCAAATATATGGTCAGACATTGTATTTTCGGTGAGGAATTTTTTTCTCGAAACTGAGTAGGATTTCGGGGGTATGTCTATTGACCAAAAATGCTTGTAATTGACCTCTGCAATTAAAAATAATTTTTCCAATACGATTCGAAATTCTTTTTTTTCACCCAAAACTTTCAGCACTTACTCGAATTTTTTTCTCGAAACTGAGTAGAATTTCGGGGGTATGTCTATTCACCACAAATACTTATAGTTGACCCCCACAATCGAAAATAATTTTTTCAGAATGATCTAAACATTTTTTAATTTCGACGAAGAAGTCCACTTACCGAATTTTTTTCCTCAAAACTGGATAGGATTTCGAGGTAATGTCTATTCACCAAAAATGATTATAATTGACCCCTGTATCTAAAAATAATTTTTCCAAAAGGATTTCAAAAGCTTTTCTTTTGCTGAAAAATTTCACCAGCTACCCCTGTCGATTTTAATTAAAAATTCATTTTTCATTTTTAATAATTTGGTTTGACGCCCTATGGTAAAGTTGTTTAATACTTTTTTGTAGGTATCTATAAGCTCTACTTCAGAAAAAAGTTTCATTGAAATATATTCACTATTGTAGGAGTTATGGCTGTTTACAAATTGTACCATTTTTATGGGGGTTTTCTCATTTTGCGGGGTCGAGGATCAAGTTTTTGAATATTTTTGGAATTTCTACATATTCTTCATCAAAATACGCGTTGTTTGCATTTTGAAACATTAAAATCGTCCAATCCGTTCAGGAGTTATGACATTTTAAAGATTCGCATGAAATTACAGGGAAGCCATTTCTGTCCTCACATTAGATTTTCGGTAAGGAATTTTTTTCTCGTAAATGCGTAGGATTTTGGGGGTATGTGTAATGACCAAAAATGATTGTAATCGACTCCTGCAACCTCAGTAATTTTTTCAGAATGATTCGAAATTTTTTAATTTAACTTTTTAATAACATCAGTCAAGAAATTAATATTCTTGATTTTCGTCTTATTTTGGCCTCTAGAATCTCACCCTGTATAACATTTTAGTCTTACTTTGTTAGTTTTACCTGTAGAACACACTGCTGAAATGTGCACACAAAAATATGAAACACCCTATCTATAATTTAACCCACTTTCACCCTAAACGTATTACATAATTAAAAATATACACCAAATTTCACCTTATATTCAATCCTATGTAGCTTGCCCAAGATAGAAATTCTACCACAGGCCAATACAATACCATCAAACCCATCTTCCTTTAAAAATATCATACTCTTGCCCACCTCTCGTATCCGCCACATTCGAAACGTTTCCGTAAACTGTTTCAACAGTTCCTCCCTTTAATTAAAATAAAAGTAATTCCAGTAAGTCAGGGAATAACAAAGTTTCAAAAGCGCGGCGTTTGTAGAAACTATTCGTCGCGTTACGGTTCGTACCCGAGATAATAAAAGTACAGACAACTTGCGGGCAACCTTTCTATTTTTTTCCCCTCCCGACCCCGTTAAACAGCAGACTTTGTCAGTTAACCGGGGTGGGGGGGGGAACGCCGCCGAAATTTAAACGTTCTCGTGCCCTTTGAGCACTCCCGGAAGCGTCCCCGGTAAAATAAGCGTCCTCGTCTTTGGCCCCGCGTTACGCTCACGGGATTCAAAGCGGATCGATAGCCTCGCAGAAAAATCGCGGCCGGAACGTTTCAGCCGCCCGGTCTAGTTTCGCCCACGGTGCATGAAACGAACGATCGATCTCACCGATGAATTTGGCCCGTGTCCGTGCGACTGGCCACCGTAGATACTGTTCATTTGCAGAACGATTCGGCGTATGGCAGAACGTGCACGTGCTCGATGGGAACGGCATGGTGAGCAGCGTGTCCGTCGCGAGGCTTCGCGTTCATATTCAATCGTGGTACGACGAAGTGGAGGTCTTCGATTCCGCGGAATTCGGGTAAGCTCACTGTACACACTTTCGCGCGAGCTTTAAAGCTGCGACGCTTTCCCGGGGGCTCGTTGTTTTTCCGCCGGCCGTGGGGCCGGATTAATTTAATACCGGGATTTGCTAGACCTTTCACAGTCAAAATATAAAGTCCCCTCCCCCAGGGGTGCAAACGGATGACCAGTTTAACTCTCTAAATATTTGTCCATCGAGAAATGAAAATGAATATGTATGCGATGTTTAAGCAAGCAACGAAGGAAACGATTTTCGAGCGATTCTCGCGAGCTTTTCGCTTTTGTTCCATTCGACGATTTTATTGCGACGATGAAGCAGTGTCGATGCTTGTGTGAATTCATTTTTTTGGAGAACAGCGACCGTTTAGACCTCGATTTATATTTAATATTGAAATTCATTAATATTGAAAAATGAAATAACACGAATAGAAACTGTATGAAAGGGAAAAGAAATATTATTTGTCAATTTTTCTTTTTTTTTTATGAAATCAAAGAAATCATTTTAGTCGAACACAATTCAGATAACAGTTCATATAATGGAGGATTTGCTATACTAAATTATGAACTGAATTTCAGCACTGTTTTCAATAGCTTCAATAGAAAAAAGAAACACTGTTTGTCAATCTTTCATTTTTTTTAATGAAATCAAAGAAACCACTTTCGTCGATTACAAATTCAATAGCAGCCATATCACATAATAGAAAATTCAGATAACAATAGTTCATATAATGGAGGTTTTGCTATACTAAATTATGAACTAAATTTCAGCACTGCTTTCAATAGCTTTAATAGAAAAAAGAAACACTGTTTGTCAATCTTTCATTTTTTTTAATGAAATCAAAGAAACCACTTTCGTCGATTACAAATTCTATAGCAGCCGTAGCACATAATAGAAAATTCAGATAACAATAGTTCATATAATGGAGGATTTGCTATACTAAATTATGAACTAAATTTCAGCACTGCTTTCAATAGCTTTAGTAGAAAAAAGAAACACTGTTTGTCAATCTTTCATTTTTTTTAATGAAATCAAAGAAACCACTTTCGTCGATTACAAATTCAATAGCAGCCATATCACATAATAGAAAATTCAGATAACAACAGTTCATATAATGGAGGTTTTGCTGTATTAAATTATGAACTAAATTTCAGCACTGTTTTCAATAGCTTTAATAGAAAAAAGAAACACTGTTTGTCAATCTTTCATTTTTTTTAATGAAATCAAAGAAACCACTTTCGTCGATTACAAATTCAATAGCAGCCATATCACATAATAGAAAATTCAGATAACAATAGTTCATATAATGGAGGATTTGCTGTATTAAATTATGAACTAAATTTCAGCACTGTTTTCAATAACTTTAATAGAAAAAAGAAATACTGTTTGTCAATCTTACATTATTTTTAATGAAATCAAAGAAACCACTTTCGTCGATTACAAATTCAATAGCAGCCATATCACATAATAGAAAATTCAGATAACAATAGTTCATATAATGGAGGATTTGCTATACTAAATTATGAACTAAATTTCAGCACTGTTTTCAATAGCTTTAATAGAAAAAAGAAACACTGTTTGTCAATCTTTCATTTTTTTTAATGAAATCAAAGAAACCACTTTCGTCGATTACAAATTCAATAGCAGCCATTTCACATAATAGAAAATTCAGATAACAATAGTTCATATAATGGAGGATTTGCTATACTAAATTATGAACTAAATTTCAGCACTGTTTTCAATAGCTTCAATAGAAAAAAGAAACACTGTTTGTCAATCTTTCATTTTTTTTAATGAAATCAAAGAAACCACTTTCGTCGATTACAAATTCAATAGCAGCCATATCACATAATAGAAAATTCAGATAACAACAGTTCATATAATGGAGGATTTGCTATACTAAATTATGAACTAAATTTCAGCACTGTTTTCAATAGCTTTAATAGAAAAAAGAAACACTGTTTGTCAATCTTTCATTTTTTTTAATGAAATCAAAGAAACCACTTTCGTCGATTACAAATTCAATAGCAGCCATATCACATAATAGAAAATTCAGATAACAATAGTTCATATAATGGAGGATTTGCTATACTAAATTATGAACTAAATTTCAGCACTGCTTTCAATAGCTTTAATAGAAAAAAGAAACACTGTTTGTCAATCTTTCATTTTTTTTAATGAAATCAAAGAAACCACTTTCGTCGATTACAAATTCAATAGCAGCCATTTCACATAATAGAAAATTCAGATAACAATAGTTCATATAATGGAGGATTTGCTATACTAAATTATGAACTAAATTTCAGCACTGCTTTCAATAGCTTTGATAGAAAAAAGAAACACTGTTTGTCAATCTTTCATTTTTTTTAATGAAATCAAAGAAACCACTTTCGTCGATTACAAATTCAATAGCAGCCATATCACATAATAGAAAATTCAGATAACAATAGTTCATATAATGGAGGATTTGCTATACTAAATTATGAACTAAATTTCAGCACTGTTTTCAATAGCTTCAATAGAAAAAAGAAACACTGTTTGTCAATCTTTCATTTTTTTTAATGAAATCAAAGAAACCACTTTCGTCGATTACAAATTCTATAGCAGCCGTAGCACATAATAGAAAATTCAGATAACAATAGTTCATATAATGGAGGATTTGCTATACTAAATTATGAACTAAATTTCAGCACTGCTTTCAATAGCTTTAGTAGAAAAAAGAAACACTGTTTGTCAATCTTTCATTTTTTTTAATGAAATCAAAGAAACCACTTTCGTCGATTACAAATTCAATAGCAGCCATTTCACATAATAGAAAATTCAGATAACAATAGTTCATATAATGGAGGATTTGCTATACTAAATTATGAACTAAATTTCAGCACTGCTTTCAATAGCTTTAATAGAAAAAAAAAACACTGTTTGTCAATCTTTCATTTTTTTTAATGAAATCAAAGAAACCACTTTCGTCGATTACAAATTCAATAGCAGCCATTTCACATAATAGAAAATTCAGATAACAATAGTTCATATAATGGAGGATTTGCTATACTAAATTATGAACTAAATTTCAGCACTGCTTTCAATAGCTTTAGTAGAAAAAAGAAACACTGTTTGTCAAACTTTCTTTTTTTTTAATGAAATCAATGAAATCATTGCATCAAAACTCAAAATATTAGCTGAAAAAACGAAATTTTCTTTATCGTATGATAGCATGAATATTTTTATTTCCATTTAATAAAACTCGTCTTAAAATATTTAATAACTTAAAACATTTAATCAGAAAAGAATTTTATTCAATTCTCACTCTTTGGTGGGTAAACAATTTATAAATGTTAATATACTCAAGAACAGCATTGAAGAATATTAAAAAAAAAATTTGTAAAGAAATTTTATAATGACAATATGTATAATGGAGAGAAATGGTTATTATTTTTCATAAAATTCTATATTTGCCATGATTGCCTATAACTGAAATTCTGTTCAGTTTCTGAAAAAGAATTTATGAAATAATGCAATGATAATGACATATAAATCGAAAGGTTTGTGCAAATGATCGAATTGCATGCAGACTGGAGTGAATGATCAGAAAAGCGAAATGTGATCTGATTACTTATTTATGAATATGATTTCAAAGTAATCCCATGACAATTACACTGTAACGTTGGGTAATAATCGTAAATCATCGAGTCGTGTAACTGCCACGTAATACAGTGTAATTAGCGTGCAATTACCGTGTAATTACGGGTGGCTACTTCGAAATCATAATCGTAATCAGGTGACATTTTACCCAACTCTGACTGGAACTAATAGCTCTTTAATCTGTGTGATCTATAGCTGTGACCATTTTGACCATTTCGATCGACAGAAACTATTCATTTTATGATAGTTAAAAGTTTTGGTTTTTAACTAAAAATAAACGAAGAAGTTACAAATGGAATAAAAAAATATTAAATTGTTACGAGGAAAAGTACGTTGTTACCATTTGTTGAAACCAATGTTAATTGGTTAAAATCACATCATTTTGTATTCTAACATATTTCTGATATTTTAGAATATTTATTTAGTCTGTTGGCAATTTATCTACTAAAGTAAATGTTGAAAATTTTGAGAATTTTCTGAAGTTGTTAATTGGTTAAAATCACATCATTTTGTATTCTAACATATTTCTGATATTTTAGAATATTCTTTCAGTCTGTTGACAATTTATCTACTAAAATAAATGTTGAAAATTGCAATATTAATAATAAACAGTTGAAGTTACGTTTACTAACTGGTTTAGGGTTTGTTTTGATAATAAAGAAGTATAATAGGAGTGAAATGCAAACTTAAATTTGAATTTATAATTTATTGATTTATTCTGTGTAAAATGGCACAAGAAAGAATAGAATTTTCTTTAACGAAACATCGAAGACCTTAAAATCGTATAAAATTAAATTTTATTATATAATTGTGATTTGCTTTCTGTTCAAAATCGTCTTATACGTGTTATAAATTTGCAAAGAACACGAATAGTATTTGTGTACAGGTAATTTACAGGAATTTAACAGCCAAACGTTGGAGAGGAAATCAATTGTACTTAGATTCGAAGTTGTACGTAGTATAACTTATGCATCAATTTCCAAACTTAGGGATTCTTAGCTTTCCGCGAACTGAATAGTCCCTCGGGGACCATTCTATATCAATAATTCCGTGCCATGTACTATATTGCCGCTTTGATTTCGCGGAGAGGAAGGAACATTCAATAAATTCTATCTTTGGTTCCATCGACTTGTCAGTGCCTTTTGCGTGTACAAAATTCAATAGGCATAAGTAATTTTTTTTTTTTATTTTTCAAATGAAAATTTCTCTTAAAATTACAGTAACTATGAAGGCAACAAAGATATTAGAATTACACATAAAATAAATAAAGATACAAAATGAAACGGTGGAGTTTTAAAAATGTATTTCTAATCAGAACTGCAAAGAAAAATTGAGGCTTTCAAGAATTAGAATATAAA